TAGGGAAACTGCTACAGAAGAAAAAAGGAAAATGATCTGACCCAGTAAGATAGTTCTTGTGTTCCCAGTTCCTGTGCTCGCCACTCCTGGCTAAAATAATGGCACTCACTTATAACAGTGCCCTACAATCAACGGCAATATCAAACACATTAGGCCTTATTTTAAAGGGTATATGTGTCGGCAAAGACAAATGCTACTTAACTACAAATAGATATTTAAACCCCTCCCTAAAGAGCTCTCATAACAAAACCACTCTGTGTGGGAGAGGCAAAGCACTGTCAGAGCACTTAAAGAAAAGTAGGTAATTGAAGTTTTGCTACATTTAAACTCCTGTGCAATAAAAACCTGATTTTAAAAGCCCTGTAAAGCAGCGAACTTTTCTGGTGCCTTACTGTCTGTTATTGCACAGAAATGGCCCCACTAAAACAGCGAATTGCTGTTTTGCACATTGTTGCATAATGGGGGTATGTGATAAATGGCATGGCACACATGTTAAAAGCCTCCTAGTGACAGAGGCTTTCAATCCTCTTCACGGTGTTCAAGGAGGAAAGTAATGTATTTCAGTGACTAGGTGCAACCTTCAGTGTGGATTAAGTCCAAATTAGTTAAGATTCATCCCATGTTCCCAACAACTTTGTGTGCTACCACATTAGAAACATGCAAAAACAACCTAGCGTACCTGAGCATGAACTGATCCACCGTAGAATTGTTGGCAATTGTCACATAAACATTCACCACCTCTCCTTGTTTGACAGGCTTTGAGGGCAACCAGACAGCAATATTACTGTCCAGCCGCAGCTCCATTAGCTGAGAAGTCTCCTGGCCTCGATAGAGGCTCACAGATCCAATCCTCTGTAAGTGGGACATGGTTTCATCCACACCGTCTTTTCCTGGCCGGATAGAATTTCCCTTCCTCATATCCTCAGCAGTACACTCTCCCTTCTCGTCTCCCAGTTGGACAGTATAGTAAAGCTCCACAGGGCTCCCTTCAAACTGATCCGGTGGCTTCTTGCGGCCTGTGACAACCGTGGGGGGGTTAAACCAGCTTGGCAGGAGCTCCAGCTCTGCCACACACAGCCCCAGATCCCCCTTCAGCCTGCAGCTGGCTCTGACTTTCCGCGTCTCTCGGCAGCTGCCTCTGACTTCCCGCGTCTCTCGGAAGGCGAACACCCGCAGGCAGGGCAGCCGTTCCGTGGTGCTATAGTCATCCCAGTCCCTGCCCACGATGTAGAACAGGACCTGGACTTTGGGCTTGCTCACGTAAATTTTGTCGCTCATTATGTAGGCCTTAAGCTTCCAGTTATAAGTAAACTTGTTGGCAGATCCAAAAAAGTCAGAAGTTAACATTAGGTCCTGGGGCACAACTTGTTCAACAGAAAAAGGTCCATAGCTGGCATTTAATATTGGTGGTCTCTTGGCCTTATATGGGAAGAATGATTCCACCCTGGACTGCAAACTGGAATTTCTCATAAAGTCCTGGTTGGCTTCTTTGAGAAAGAAAGATGTCTCAGCACTGAATATCCGATAGCTCACACGTAGGTATGTTGGTAATGAAGAAAATCTCTGATGATTGTCCAAGATCCCTCGACACTCTGTCACTAATAAAAGAAAAGGTGATGCGAGTTAGACCAAATCTGCTTATAGGTTCGAAGGGACATTCACTATGACTTTAGTGGAGCTACCTGGTAAGTTAGGGACAAGCATTATTTCACACAAAAAATATTTACAGTGTAGCTACGTGTTTAGATGCCACATGTTTAGCTACATGTTTAGATGTAGCTAGTTTTTTTGCATTACATTCACAAAAGAAAAAAATGCAGCCTTTAGTGCTACCTTGCGTTTAACAATGATAAACATTTTGTCACACGTACATACACAGGTGATGTACAAAGGGTTGTGTGCAGCACCAGTAATTATTCATACTTCCAGAGGGAGCAGGAAGAGGAAGATACAGATAGCAGAAGCAATGCTTGTCCCAATAGCCATTTTACATGGCTCAACTGACTGCAGCAGTGCTTTACTACTGCACAGCAAACACAGAGTACTCATCGAATACTTTGGCTATCACCTGAATGAGAAATAAATAGGTTGTTTGTCACTCCTATGCAATGTCTCACCTCCCTAACAAAACTTCAAGCAAACTTGCATAAGCTTGCACACACCAGTTCTCTTACAGACTGGCCAGAAATCAAAGTCACAGAATTGCTTTTGGAATGCTTTAAGTAAACACAGTGTCTTTTAAACCACCCATGTGCTCACCTTCCCCACTCTTTTCCCAATCATACCACCCCCTTCTGAACTTTCCACCCACTTAGAAACTTCTCTCCTGTCTTTCCAATCTTTTGTTCAGTTACAGCATGCACGAGGTATTCGGTATGTTGGTACGGTCCACTGAACCACAGCCCCCGAAGGACTGCTTATGACTATCCCTGCAGGAACAGCGGCCAGGAGATCAAAGATAGTTTCTGTTCTACAGCCAAAGACAGAAACTGCTTTTCTAAGAACTGACACACACACCATTTCACTCTTCCTCCGTCAAGAAACCTTGCTCTCGTATTACTATTTCTAGCACTATGGTCTACACCTCTATAATTGAATAGCAACACTACCTCAGCTTTTTAAGTTATTTAAACACAGATGCACATTACAGGCTAGAAATATTTCAGCAAGTGCTAATATATAAGATGCACACAGAGAGAAATTAGTACATACTGGCCAATTTTAAGTTTCAGCTAAATATCAGATTCCTTTTGATGTACAGGTTTTTTCCTATTATAAAAGATTAACAACATGTATTGTTGAAAGACAAAAATTATTACTAATTAGGGTAGATAATGGAGGACAGTTAAAATACAGGTAGAGCACATAATGCTACTCACAACCCCTCTTCCTAACTCATAGTGAAGAGATTAACTGTAGGTACAGAAAGTAAATGAATGATGATGCATCTCGTGCTAGACTGTCTTTAGTATTTAAAAATAGACCTCGCCCTCAGACATATGTCAGTTCCAGTGTCCTTGGGGAATCCCATCAGAGTCAGGATTTAAGGTTCTGTGTAAGTTCAGCTCTTTAAAGAGGAAAAGCAACCGTAAGGGCAATGCATAATGCACAGATTCATCTGGAACTCAGCAACACCTAAAGATCTCTAAAAAGCCCTACAGACTCTCTTATCAGCTTTCTCACGAAGGTCTGCAGCTTGAGGATTTTTGCAAATAAGTTCACTGTCCTTCTAGCATGTCTGGCTGCTAGCATGCTAATTATGCAGTCAAATTTAATTAAATGTTTTCAAGTAATAAATAATCAATATCTGTCATTACGCCTAATGACTACTGCTGACAGACAACCTCACTACAATCCTGTTGAGTGTGCACATAGCTACTGCACTGGCACTACTTGGTGCTGGGAAAGCAAATAGCTTTGGAAAGCAGGTGTTAGGCAATTAAGAAAAAAGGAAAGAAACAAATGTGGAGGAGAGGGAAAATCAGAACTCTCAAAGGACAGCAGCCATAAATTCAAAATAAGGAATTAAGATGTGTTCACTCATGTTTAATTCACCACCACTGGATGATAGAATTAGTTCTCCTAAACGAGCAAACTGCCATGACTGGACAAAAATAAAAAAAAATAGAAGGCAAAAAGAGAAAAAGGCAAAAGGCCTGTCAATGAAAACACCAGAATGTAGTGAATTACCAGCACAACACCCTCTCTGTCAAGTAGATTCACATTTAAAATATAACATCAGTTTAGGACACTGTTACTATCCTGTAAGTCTCCAGTCCTTGGCATACATTTTAATTCTGCTGGAAAGGAATCTACAAATGCCACCTCCTGAGCTGATTGATTTCCCCTTAGTTGAATCAACGTATTTGTCTGTTAGGGTTACATCCCAAAGTGCTGTAACACTGAAATAAGGAATGCAAAGAAGATCCACCTTGGACCATGGGCCTTTCAAGAAAACAGCAAAGCCTTATATTTCTTCTGGTCCAGGAGCAGAACAGGAACTTGGGTTACTGAAAGAGTAGCAGTTCAGTCTCACTTTTCTCTCTAAATCCCTTCACCTGCCCTGGATGAGCCTGTTGAGTTTTGGTCAGCTTCCTGCAGCCCTTTGCAAAGAGCTATCATTGACATTTACATGACAGATACCACCATTCTTTTCAAAAATATTTGGTTTGCTACACAAGAAGTCAGCTTCTTACCGGTCAGTTTGGCTACTGAATTTGACTTGCAAATCATTATAATTTCTTTATTAGGCATCCTCTTGTCCAGGCCAAGAGCCTTGTAATATTAGAGGGCAGCAAACTAGTTAAAGAAAACACATAAGCACTTCCTTGAATGTAAGCATTAACTGGACTTAAGTACACAGGTATGTTTTGCTGAAGTGTTTCCACGATTAGAGATATTCTAGATTTGGCACCATTGCTACTGAGGGAATACCTTTGGCTTCGACAGATCTGCAAAAAACAAATAAACTCAGCAGGCTGCAGAGACCAGTGAACTCCTCTGATTTCAAAGGGCTGTTGATCAGCATCTATGCTTGAAACTTAACAGCTGGTTTTCTGCAATTCCCAGGACTTTTGCACATTATCCTCAGACAGACAGTGGTCTCATTTTTGCAGGCACTCCATTTATCCCAGATCAATCATGTGGCTGAGGTGTGTAGGACGTGGCCCAATATTAAGAAAAACAGCCATGCAACTTCCACTTTAATAAGCTGAAGGCAAACAGCAAAACCTATGTGGTCAGACTGACAGCAAGGAGAAGAAAAAGCTTTGCTTTTTTATTGCAGTCTAAAGATTTCCACCCACTTTCATACCATACATAATGGAGTGCTATATTTCTATAGTGATATCTGTACTTCAGACAATTTATTTAAGCACTTTAAGCCTTTTACTGATAAAACTGGTAGTTAAAATTGTCCATTTTATTTTAGAACCCCAACCACGTGCATCAGCAACTACAGGCCATCATTTAAGAGGTTTGTTCTATACTCTTCCTCTCTACCCAATAGTCTTCATGTCCTGGTATAATTAATTACCAATGTTTCCGGAGAACATTTTTGTATGCTTGATCAGCTCAGCTACAAAGTTTTTATTTATCAGAGAATCTATTTCAAGAAGATGCCAAGGTTTTACTGAGTTTCATATCACAAGTTACTATTTTAAATAATCATTAAGCATAAGATTACTTTGTCTACCTGAAAAATAGACTGCAAGAATACGGGCAAGGGTGAGAAAGGAAATACAGAAACACCATTTCTGTACTGAAGACTAACTCTGATTACAGCAGGCTTGACTTACAAGTAGGCAGTAAGTGCTTTACCCTTTTACATTATCAAACAAGAGTTACAACTTGTCCAGAGACGAAGTCCAGCATGGAAAAGATTAAGAACCATCAAACAAAGCTAGTATTAGCCAAGAACAAAAGTTAAGGCTTACAAGTAATTACCCCTCCTTTGTAACAGCCGGGTGACTTTTTAAATCCTTCTTCTGGCATCATATGCTTCTGCAGCACTTCATCTGAACCCAAACAGGCATCTGTTAAGCACATCACCGGCTCCAGTGTGACAGTTCAGCTCAAATTCCTATAACCTAGCAAGTTCATTTTTGGAGCTGGATATGAAACAGTGAATTCTGATCTGTATTATTTCTTGGATACCAGTGTAAAAGGAATTTTCTTGGGGGGAATTTCATATGGAGCTGGAGCCCTAGGTGCTGGATTCACTGGAACAGTGAAAGCCATTCTTTTATGAGGTTGGGTTGAAACAACTTTCTTTTGGACTGGGAATTAAGGGTTTAGATTGTGGGTGGGAGATTACTGGCCAATGGCCACGTAGCTTCACTGACTGGTGTTTGATGAGCCACCGAGCCTTCAAGGAAACCATCTGCCTGTCCCCTCAGCCAGAAGGCTCTTAGCCAGAGAAAGCCAGGGAGAAGCAGAAGACATCTGCCTATGCAAAGGAAGAGTAATGTGAGAAGCTTTCTCTGCACCTTGTATGGCCCTCACAAAGGCACATTTATAATTACTCCTTCCAGGAAACAAACCATATGAGAAGTGGTAGACAAATTTCTTTCCCTCTGTGTTCTTCTATTACCCTAGCACATCAGTACAGCTGAAGCTTCCACCAAGAATTCTGTAACTTTTATGGCAGGATCTTCTCCTTCCTTTTCGTAACAGCTTTACCCACTGCCTTGTTCCTCCATTCCTAAATGTGGCTATAATCGAATGCTGTACCATATTGGGGTTTGAGGTTTTTTTTTTTTGGTTGGTTGGTTTTTTTGGCCCAAATTCCATGCACTAGAGTTCTAAGAAAAAAAAATTAATTTACAGCACCACCACCACCTAAAATTCTGCAAATCCTGTAAATATTATCCCCTCTCCTTACATGGACTCCTATTCCCATGCTGCCCCTACACCCAGAGAGCCTAACTGTACTATAAGCGCATTATACAAAAACCATCCTCTCACAAAAGTCTCCACCCTTGAATTCTCTTCTGTGACTCCACCTTCCACTACAAACCTGTCCTGCTCTTGCACAGCAAATCACATATTGCAGCCCAGGAAAAACAAAGTAGGAAAAGAATAAAA